ACACTTGTTAGAAATCATTTACAAGTCTTTGAACAAATTCATTGGTGGCCTCGATCCTTTCACCCTGAGCCAAAAATCAAATAATTGGCATAATAACGTCATGGTTTTTAGAGCAACGTCAAATGCATGAATGCCTTCCAAGTAGGTTAGTTTTAAATTAGATACTATTATACTAAATGCTAAATAGTTTAGAACTATGGGCACCTATATATGTGCCTGATGCCTGCTAATTAGCATGTTGGAGGAGACTTGATTAACTGTGTCTGCTGGAACATGCCAATTAGCATGCTTCAGCAGCCTCAGTGTCACATGTATTCAGCATCCCTGCATTTCAAAATAGCAGCAGTGGTGTTTTAATTAAAGCTCGCCAAATGAGCCTTAGTTAAAGCGCCCTACCGCCATTTCGAAGCCTGGGCTGTTGAACACATGAGAAGCTCGTGCTTTAGAGTGGCCTGCTGTAATTAAAGTGCCCCTCCTTCCCTACCTATGCACACAGTTTATTCAGAAATGATGCGTGTTACCTTTTTTTGAAACTGCTGCAAGTTTTAGCAGAGGAGTTTCATAAACATATTTTTGAGCAGCACTTTCGCTTTGGACCAATATCATGCATAATTCATACTACATATAAATAGGTGCCAACAGCTCGTGATTTACCATGTAGCTTGTTGAGCTAAGCTCCACCAGAGTCAAGAGCATCTGAAGCCACAGTGACCCCATAGCTCAGTATTGGTTAGTATGTATATGAACTCCAGATAATCCCCACAAAGGTTTTATATGCTAATATGTCACCAATCCTGTGATACTCCAAAAATCTATATGTAGATGAGTTGCAGGGCAACCTAGTCTGGCTTCATCTCATGATGTGGTGGGACCACACTAATCATATGCAACAGAGGGATTTTGGGTGAACTGTGTCCAATGCTGTGGCTCACCATGACCGTAAAAAAGAGTCAGCGGTGAGGGGGACTGCACTATGGGCACAATCATATTCAGATAGGCTACACTAACCTGTGCTTGTGGTAGGCTCTCATCAGCATATTTGCCAAACATGGGTCATGTGTTATATAGTCATGCTCAGTGTTAGTTGCATTTACTCAACTTCATAGTTTGTGTTCCATTGCTGAGCACATGCTGCTTTTGACAACAGTATAATGATAGACAATGTATTTAGTGAGATTTTGTATACGCAATTATAAGATGAGGGGGCTTCCCACCTCCCCACCCCCCCAGTGCCAACTGGGGGGGAAAAAAGCAACCTTCATTTTCTATTTGAGTAAATACTGTAAATTTACAGTAATGTTAATGGTATAATACCAATATCCTAAGGTTTCTGTTAACCCAGATAAACCCAGCATCATAACTTAAGCAGTTCCCACAAGTATAAGCATATAGGTGTGAGGGAGATGGAGAGAAAGAAAGGGACAGCCAGCATCCCAAACTCACCGCAGTGCCGAGTGGCTCCAGAAGCAGCATGCTGGAAACACTGTGACACTTCCAGAGCAGCATGAAGCTCCGGATTAGTGAGAGGCATCCAGAGCATTACTTCCGGCCCCAGAGAGGGGCACAGCGGTGGTGGCAGCAGACAGCAGAGGCAGCAGGCTGAACTGCCCCCAAGCTGGGGGCAGCCAGAGGCTGAAGCAAAGCAACCTGCCCAGCCTGAGCAGCAGAGTGCTTGGAGGGGCACCATTCAACAAGCCAGATGACCAGCAGAAGCTGAGCCAGGGACCAGTACATCCAGTCAACCCAGCAGCAGCAGGATGAATTTCAGGGCAGAGGGACCCTGGGTGGAGGCAGACCGAACAGAAGTTCCAGGTACAAAGCCAGTACTTCACCCCTGGGACAGTATCATTGTACTTAGGGGTAAGGGAAAGGTCTGGGGTCTACACCCTTACCCAGGCCCAACATTCCACAATGGGACAGGGCAACAGGAGGCTCCAAAGTTTGTGACCAGACCCTAGGAATGAGGGCCGGGGGGGTGGTGATAAAACCCTGCAGGACTGCCATAGGGACCTTGAGTGGCAGGCTCTGGGGCGGTGAAGAGTACAACTGTAAAAGGATCTCAGGTTGTGAGGAGATTTATGGTTTGTGCCAGTGTAGTGAGCCAGCACGGACTGTTGCTTACGGCATAGAGACTGATATAGGGCCACTGAACCCAAGACTATACTTTAAGGGCTGAGCTAACTAATTGGCAGCCACAGAGGCTCAGCGGGAACAAGGCCACAGTTGGATCAGGGCCAGTTGAGAAGACAGCTGCTATAAAGAACATGCACCTTTCAAGTCATCAGAGACTCCAGACAACATCCATCTGTGTCGGAAACCAGATAAGGTTAGGGTGGGGTAAAGGGGAAATTTGGAGCCCCACAAAGAGAACAGGGGAAGAACCTGGAAGGTACCCTATGGGGAACTGCCTCCCGTAAATTACATCGAAGTCATGGCAGACAAGGAATATAACAATCACATAGGCAGACTGAGCGACCTAGTCCAGGCTCTACCTCGTCACCACCAGTAGAACAGAGATCCCTGGGAAGGGGTCTCAAACCATATAATACCTACAGCCAGCACGGTAGGTCCCAGCTACACATTACATATATATTACACAACTAACTAGTTACACAAATAACTAGTGCATCTCGCATCAATTTAGACTGGCCACATGTGCAAAATAATCATCATTCAATGAACTGGTTAATGGCACAATAAATATAGACCAGCCACACATGCAAAGTAGTCATCACATGATAAAAATGACAGCTATAAAGAGTCAACCAACTACAAAGGTAGTGCTTGAAAATGTGTAACAACTCTATAGCTGGTTTCTACCCAGCTTTAATTTGAACATGTAGCAGGGCCCTAATAGTCATTAAGATGCAACTGTAATGCAATAAGGAGTCATGCCTTGTGATCAGATTATAAGGTTATTCCTTTGTATAAAGTTCATCATTACCAGGGATCTGGGTTTTCTGTTTCCCATGGAAAAATGGAGTAAACCACAGATTTTACCTTTTACCAGAGGCAAATGCAAATTTCCCATTTTACTGGAGAAGCCAGTGGATTTTGCAGTTTTGTGATGAGCCCTCCACAGGCTGGCAGAGTTCCAGCCTGCAGGGGCCTGGGTGGGAGAGGAAGGAGGACAGTCAGGCAGGGGGAACCCTGTGCATGTACATGCACATGGCCCCAGGCAGGCTGGAGAGCAGCTCCCACAAGTAAGTGTGGGAGGGTTGGAAATTGAGCCCCCATAGGGAGGGAGGGAATTAGGTAGGGCTGGGACTGGGGCTGCTGCCCAGCCAGGCAGTGCACGGGGCTCAGGGCTGCAGTGTGTGGCTGCAGGGCCACAGAGGGGAGTGGGACAGGGCTGTGAGCGACTCATCCAGGGAAAAAAGAGTCGCTCCCCACCACTGCACACTTCCTGGGGGGGACCCACACCCCACAGATCTGTGCATGGGGCAGGCACAGACTGTGAGCTCAGGCTCCCGCTCTGCTGCCCTACCCCCAGGGCCTCTGCAGCCAGGCAGGTGCAACCCAGCATGGCAGGGAACAGCAGAGCTGCATGGAGGAGCTGCTTGTTGCTGTGAGCTCTGAGCTGCCCTGGTGATGCACTCCCTGTGCATGTGGCTGCAGCGGGGGCAGTGGCATGGAGTCATGCCCCTCAAAGCTGCCACATGTGCAGTGGCAAATTGCCAGGGCAGCGCGAGCTCACAACAACAAGTAGCATCTCCATGCAGCTCTTCTGTTCCCTGCTGCACCAGATCAAGCCTACCGGGGCAGGGCAGCAGGGTGGGAGCCCAAGCCCACAGCCTGCACCCACCTCTGCAGCCTGAGTTCCAGGGGGCCGTGGAACCGGGTCCCAGGCCTCATAGCCCTGGCAGCTGAGGCCTCCCTCCAGCAGGGCTTGTGGGGACAGGGGGTTGTGGGTGGGGGATGAGGACCACCAGCAGGGCTGGGAAGGCAGTGGTAGAAACTAGCAGGACAAGGAGTGTGGGGTGGGAATGAGAGGCATGAGCAGGGCCAGGGAGGTGTGGAGAGGAGGGAGAGGCACCAGCAGGGCCAGGGGGGCACTGTGGGGGGCCTTTAAATTTTAATAATGGATTTAGAGATTTTTTTAATCAGAGAAAGCCATGATCCCTGATCATTACTCACTGTTACTCTTACTGTTTGTTTTTAGAAATCCTTTGCATTTTTCCATTTTATATAACAAGCCTCAGTTCTGAAGACTGTAATACAACATAGCCTATGGAAGCAGGGACAAAAGTTCCCAGTAATAACCTTAGCAGGCCACTAAAATGACCGGTAGCTTATTCCCATTTTACAAAAAGGAAAAACTATCATACAGTAGGATTTTTAGATCCTCAGATGAAATTCTTAAATAATGACAAAACAGTCCCTATGATTAATATTGTATATACAGATTAGATTCCTAAGGCAAGCCTACACTGCTTTTGAGCAGCCCCACACCCCATTCATTCACACTTTAAGTGAACTTAATGCCAAAAAAAATAAATAAATAAGATAGCTCTAGGTTGTCACATAATTGGGTATGCCTGGCACCAGTAACAGCAGCTCCATTATATATTTTTGGTGTTTAGGGCCCAGGCTGTTTCAAGGGTTGTGCTCCCTGCCACAGTTGGTGGCAGCATAGACCTGCCTGTAAAGCCTAATCCTACAATGAGGCTCAAATGGGCACAGGGCTCTGCCAGCCCCGTACCTGCTCCATGACTGAAGGGTTAGATTCTGAACTATCTGAGGCAAGTATTGAATTTTCAGAGGTGTTCATGCAGTATCTAGCAAACTGAGGACTGAGTCCTACAGTAATATGGTGATAATAACACTTCTGTTTTATGGAACACAGACTACAGTTTCTCCACCGTCTGCCTCAACAAATATATTTCTTTAATGTATGGCCTTACTTTTCCTTTACCCGACTGAAAAAGCTAAAAGCAGAATTAGGCAGAATACATACAAAAGCTGAAATGGCATCTAGAGCAGAAGCTGATAAACAGTACCTCTTGGTGCAACCTCCCGGCATCCAAATCAAGTCTTCTGCTCCTGTCTGATTCCATCCATCCCCACGAGGCTGACAGGAAAACCCCAAGCAACATGAGAAATAATGAAAAGCTTCTTGGTTTCATTATTTCAACTCTGTTGAGAACAAGATGACAACAATCAAACATGATCATTTGAAATAAGCCAACAAAAAACCCACCATAGAAACTAGGCAGACATTCCAGTTAACTTACGATGCATATATATTTAATAATTATCCATGTCCACTTGGCTTAAGTGCTAGAAAACTGAATTCCTAGGCAGAATCCTATCAAGTTGCGGGTATTTTCTTTGGAAACTTCCATATATAAGAAGCGGAGAGCAAATGTCGAATTGTCAAGCGTCTAGAAGAGAGTGGCACTCAAATCTTTGGTGCTTTTGAAAGCCCCAGATGTCTATGCTCAGTATAATGCCAGTGCTTACAGTGGGGTAACAACAAGCATCTCTATTCTGACAAGACCCTAGTGAAGCCAGTGGTGGTCCACGTAAGTGCAGCCATCCTCCAGATGTAATGGTTTGCTACCCATTGGTCACTTACTGAATCTCCCTTCTTTCTTTTGAATGAGTACCAACCTAGTTAGTCTGCAACGGCAGATCCCTGCACTACTAACTACTTCCATTAGCTTCACCCAGGCTCTGCATGGGGGCAGAAAGTCTATTTACAACACAGCCACCACAAAATCAGGGTCTTCGTGTAAATGTGAGTGCTTAAGCAAGTTAAACATTGAGTAAAGAGAGAGACTTACATCTTGAAAAGAGTTCAAGATTAGTTCCCAAACTATAGCCCAATTTCCCTCATGGATCTGTCAGTACCCCTTGGAGAGGAGTGTAAACATTTCCATTATATCCCCAAAGAATACTGCATCTGGCAGGTGGCGCTTCCTTTCTCTTCTCCCGGCTCCCCTCCCCTTCTGAAATGGGCAGCTGTTCTCATCTCAAAGTTCATTCTCTCTTCAGACATGGGCCTTTAAGTTGGCTTTTGGGAGCCCCTGCCACCTCCAGACCCCCTCCTACCATTATTTTCTTGACAGGCCACTGTCAGATTTTAAAACTGGTTCCAGACCCATGAATAAGGGAATTCTCAGGTACAGACAAGGATCCCAGGCCACATAATATTTATTGATTACAGGGTAATCAATACAGAGTGGTATTCTTGTTCGCAGGCATACTTGGAAGTAATGCACGTCACCTGCTTTGGGAGGGTTTTTTGTTGGTTTTTTTTTTGATTTTGCAGTTTGAATAAACCCAAAGCAAAATCAGGTGAAACAGAAAATATGAAACCCATGAATAATTTGGCAAATTTCACTGTAAGGTTGGACCAGATTCATTAAAAAAATTAGTCATCCTTAGCACAAAAAGAACCAGCAGCTTTCTATGAAGATGCACTGAACAGCATTTGTAAAAGCCATTAAGAGTTCTGTGCTTGGGTGTCCTGTTGCACATATTTTGCACAGATTTCCATAGAAATGACAAAAAAAATTCCATTTGAATCAATGCAAGCTTTGCTCTTAGCTTCCACAAGAGACGCACTTGGTCCTCCTACTGAGTATATTATAAAAGCCTAAGCAAAGCAAAATGATTTGGTTTTCATAGTAAGCAAGCAGACCAGTGACTTCTGGGATTGGAAAAAAAAAAAAA